ATTCCACTTGTTCCTACTGGATCACTCCTGTTTCTCCCTTCACACAAGCATCATAACCGGTATACATGGCCTAGCAATCTCCTTCCCTTTTCTCCCATTTCCTACATGGGGAAACAGAGTTATTCTTGCCATCCTTGTCGTCACCAGTCCATCATCGTCACCGTCGTCGTGTGAGAAGTGAGATTTGAGCCTGATCCGGCACTGGCGGTAGTCGAGGTCCCGGTAAGGCAGCTCAAAGTTCACCGATTTAGTGACACAGCAAATATAAACACAACGTGCACATGTGACGCATGATTCACGTGGAAAATAACCTCAACTTAAGGAGTAAAAAACATTTGTGGACCGGCTGGTACATCAAACTTTATTGTGAGAATGACTTGTACTCTCTGGGACCTCTAGATATTTACAACACATTCGTCACGTTGCCAACCGACAACATTCATCCCATAATTTCCGCTCAATCGAACACGGTTTGCGTACACAAACAGTTCATCTCTAAAAACTGCTCTCTGCTGAAGCTGCAGCAGTCCAAACTAACAAAAGCACACTTAAGTCAGATGCGACACTGAACCAATCCTAAAACCACATTGTGAGAACTTGAGGTGTAAAAGAAAATTGTGGACCAGCTCGTACATAAAACTTTATTGTGAGAATGACTTGTACATAATCTTCTCTGAAACCTCTAGATATATACAACACATTCGTCACGTTGCCAACCGGCAACACATTCATCACATAATTTCAGCTCAATCGAACACGGTTTGCCTACACAAACAGTACATCTCTCAAAACTGCTATTTGTTGAAGCTTCAGCAGTCCGAACCAATCCTAAAACCACATTTTGTCTTTCTCTCTACAGTTTTCTCTACCATGCCTTTTTGCATTCCCTTTCATTGCAAAGAAAGAAAGCTCTCTTACTTTATAGCAATGGAAATTTCCATGTGCATCAACGAATTCTTTCGATTCCTTCCTTCTTTGATGTATTCAGATTCCAGCAATTTTAAGAATCTAGAAATGTAATGGAAGTTGAAAAGAATAAAATAGAATAAAGGAGGTGGTAGCTAAAATCCTACCCCTTTGGATGGTTGGGATGGAACGGAGAAAGTCTCGGATGGTGATGTGACTTGCAGGCATTAAAAAGAGCATCTAAGATGATGGTGGCTTTTCTACGTACACACATACATACATAGATAGACAGATAACCACTTTTGTTTATTGTATCTTCATGCCATAAAAAAGGATAGAATATTCGGGGGTTTGCTGACTAATCCCTCATGATCCCTTGTTAGCTTGATACTCTTTGGTTGGGATAAGTACGGCACCACTTTGTCGTTGCTCGGCTGCCTATTATTACAAGCATGGTCTTCGCTTGTATGGCATCTCATAGCAAAGTCCGTGTCATGCATGTAGCTGTTGGGATCACGGAAAATGATGGTAACAACACTGTATGACTTCGATTTGGTGGTGCATCTCAAGCATCGGTCTTGAGCTCCTGAGTGAAAACCCGAATTTTGACCTCTTGGTTATATTTGGACTTATTCTTCGGAGTGAAAACCAATGATCAGGCCTTCAATGGTTGGCTCCGACGACAACGGCGCTTGAGTGTTCCCTTCCTAAAGGTGTTGCTGTTGGAGAATCCCTCTTGTGGTACTGGTGATTTCAATTGATTGTTGGTGTGGATATGGTTGTTGATGTAGATTGTTTTGATCGTTTTAGAGTTTTTTTTTTCTTTTACTCCTCCAAGGCATAACTTTGGTCTTATTTGACTATGCTAGATGCCGGTGTGATTTTGTGTGGTGTGTGTGTTGGTGTTGGCTGTGTGCATAATAACTATGCAGAGGCCGAGTGTGTTGCTCATTGTGTTTGTATCCCCTTGATGTTCCATTTTAAGCTAATAAAATCTTCCCCTGCCACCACTAGCATTTGGGGTTGCTTACCGCGTATGAACTCTAACCACATATCACCTGGTTGTAGTATTTCCCTTACAGTAGTCGTCGCTAGGTGATCCATAGGCATGGTTATAATTTTTATTATCTCTGTTGTTCTTTGTGCTGCCATGACTGAAGATGAATAGATTAGCAGTTTCTCAAAAAAAAAAGTATTTCCTCACAAGTTACATAAGTTTGCCTACGAGGACAACTACACTCTGCTCTTGTTTAAGAAGATCCACCATTCAGGCAACAACATTGTCAACATGCAAGTTGCATAAGTTTGCTCCTTGCAATTAGCGTGTTTCTTATTCATCTACACGCCCTTTGATGTACTCGATCGTACACAAGCAATCCGACTGATTGGTTACCGGGCAACAAAAACTCTACTCTAGTGTTGTAACTTGTGATAAATGTCCTCATCAAAGAAATGTTAAGAATAGAGATTCCGTAGGCACGCCACTAGAGGACGATTTCCATCCCTACACATAAATTAATTTAAAGTCGCGCAATCCTGTAAAAAATAAACAATTTAAAGTCGCACAAAAACAAGCAAGGAATGAGACAAATGGCGACCAGAACCATTCGTAATCTAATCATTATCATCATCATCATCATACATATAGCATAGCGGTTTCCAATCAGCAATCGGATAACATCATCCCCAACAACCAACACAATGCATGGCCCACCCCTCCCCAAAAAAATGTTGATCTTGTTTGTCCAACAAAAAGTAAAATAAATCATGCCTGTAACAATTAGGACTCTCTGAATTTATCTACCTGTAACAACTCTGTGGTATATATGGTGAGCAGTCCCTACCTCTACCTGACCTGCTGCTAAAATCTTCACATACAGCTTCTTGCTTTTGCTCAAGGCTGAATTGCTTTTGCTGCTGTCTGTCCTGCCTGATACATGATGCAGTTAGTTGCATGTCCACACCACTCCTCTTGACCTCTTCCCATCATTTTCTCCTTCTTTTTCTTTGAAAAGCTCCCAGTGTCACAATCCACATCATGAATAAATATGGGTGATGCTGCATCACCAGTATCTATATATGCTTTTTATCCCTTCACTGGCAAGCACTACCTGTTCCTTTGCTTGTGTACTTGTGTCAACATACAAGCCTGATCTGGTGTACACTAGCTGAGGACATGCCTTTTGCCTGTGGCATACACATGACACGATGATGGCAACATATACTGTCTACTGTACATGCTGGCTGCACATTCTGCTTATTCCTTCTGGATTGATTGCTCCTGTTTTCTTCCCTGTTATCACACATGAAAGCAACTACAGCATACATGGCCTCTGAATTTTCTTTCTTATCCTACCTGCCTGGGGGGAAACAGAGCTACTTCTCGCCGTCCCTGTCGTCATCGGTCCACAACCATCATCATCATCATCATCATCATCGTAAATTCAGCTGATTGCAGTACTCAAGGCCCACGGACGGCGGCTCTAAGCTCACCGGTTACAACTGGTAGATTCTGCACCATCTTAACATGCATATGCATGCCACCTGCAGTCACACGACCATCTTCTTGCTTCCCTGTTTTTCTTTCTTTCTTTCTTTCTTTCTTTCTTCAAGATGTATAGAATCTGCACATTCATTCAACAAATCAAGCTATCATCACTCGTTTCAGCCTCCAGGTTCGCGGGGTACGTACCATTGCCAGCAGAGGAGCAACATTCAGTCGCTTCATACCACAAGGTACCAATTTGGACAGAGCAGTGTACTAATCTGTGACACTCTCCAAAAGGCCCATATGGGGAATATGTTGCAATAAGCCATGAAACACAAAGAACCATTTTTCAAGAAGCTTCCGGTCATTTTCTACATAACAACAAACAAATTTTATTATTATTATTATAGCATTAAAAAAACAAGAAGTCAATATGGGG